TGATGGAAAGGCAGTAGTTATTGTGGAGTGAATATGTCTATGAACCATGTCTAATCTGGCCTCATAAACAATTCACGGTATAAAGGCGCTCTTCTGAGTATAAATAGCCCACGAGTTGCTGTGACAGCCGTGGCATTGAAGGTGTTTTCAAGGCATAGTTGAGTCACAAATGAAGATTCTGTCATCGTTTCATCACCTTTGTTCTTTGGTGGAACTCGGAATAAGAGCTTTTGGGCTTCTTTTATGATACGATTATTTGGTTTCTGGTTTCAATGCATGTAAAATCTCGGCATGAACATTCTGCTGAACGTCTCATTTTGAGAAAATAAAAGTAAACGATGACAGAATATAAATTTTTGGTTGAATTTAAGTTGTGAGCTGCAACTTTTGAGATGCTAATTCCAGCATTAATCCTATCGAAGGCCGATATGCTCATATCTTTGGCTTATAGTTGACGTGTCCTGTGGTGTGACATGCTATACTTGATCTAAAACCGTTTTAAATAGCATTTCTTCTTGCAATTATTATACATTCTGCTTTTCTGACCTCATATTAATTGAAATATTTGTGCTTTTAATTCATTTGTCACACTGCAGAACCATTTCAAATGAGCTAGTGAGGACTGTTAGAAATGAAGGGAACTTCAAAGAAATTGTACATGTAATATTCATATAAATATTATGCTGATTAATGCAAAATGACATAAGATATTAAATCTTATTTTTTTGAGAAATGATCCTTAAAATGAGGGGAAAATCCACCAATAGTGTCAGGAAAAATTGTTAATTCATAGTTCTTTTCTCATTTTAAGCATAAAGTCAGATTCAGATTCTCTGAAAACAAGACTTTTTGCCATTTTGCATCAAGTAAATGTATCTTGATTTAAAAATGTTTAGATATTCGCAAAAGATATTTGCAAAAGATAGAAAATCAATACAATTACGCTTGTTAAAGGTATCTTCAATTCAATTTGAAAGTACTTTCTTGGCATGACTGTGTTTACATATAATATATGTGTTTATATATAATATAATATACACAAAAGTTAGAAGAAAAAATAAAAAATTTGAATTAAAAAATAAAATAAAATAGTATTAAAATAAAGGGCTAAGTAATTAATAAAATAAGATAAAAATATTATATATTATTTATTTATTTATATATTATTTTATATTATGTGTGTGTGAATATAAAATTAAATAAACATTTATCAAGACATTATTAGAAAAACAAAAATCTGATGAAGAAACACACTCATCCTAATCTCGGATGGCCTGAGGATGAGAACATTTTCAGCAAATGTACATTTCTGGGTAAAATATTCCTTTAAATGTAATTGCATGGTCTTTTTGGGTTTTAACTGAGACGTATGAACATGCAGAAGTAGCATCATGGGTGTAAGTTAATTTCCCTGATAGGTGCTGATTGAAAAGCCTCAATGAATGCATGTCATTATGCACCGCTGTACACACCATCCAGATGTTTCTGTTCCCGGAAAGGCTTGTGGAGAATCGCGCTCCAGTAGAGAAGGTGTGAAAGCCCAATCTGTTCGTTAGGGTGGCTGAAAACTCCAGACACGGATGTCTTTATTCCAAGAGAATATAATTATGGTTCACATGATCGTGCCTCAGGCAGGGAATTCAACTAAGTGAAAATTGTGTCTTTTCATAGCTCGCTCCACACACACACACACACACACACTCTCGGCACATAGCTTTTCCAGAAGCTTCCCTGCTCTCTCACACACACACACACACACACACACACACACACACACACACACACACACACACACACACACACACACACACACACACACACACACACACACACACACACACACACACACACACACACACACACACACACACACACCCATCGGCTTCCTTCAGAGTCTCTCTGCTGTTTCTGAACACCTGAACGCTCATTGACATCAATACAAGTCATTCACAATAAGACCAGGAACATGCATTAAGTGTGCACATTGACCTTACATTTCCTCGGTCCGTGAATGTCAAAGGCTGAAAAGAAGCTAGTGAGGCGTTTCTGTCTTTTAGTAGTGTCATTTTCCTGAACACTGACAAACAAACATACTGAGCTTGATTCCTCTTTTATTTGTGTATAAGAATGATGATTAAAAGACAGCTTAGGCGCCCTCTGAGCGCCGGTTCATTTGTCATCCTGAGATTATATGACAAAACCACCTCAGTCTCCTTGAATGACCTGCCAGAGTGTTTCCTTTGCCAGTTTCTTGAGTGTAAAATTAGAAAATTATTTTCCAGATATCCTTTTAGATACAGATAAAGAACCCTGATAGGGCTGTGTGATGAAGTCGGTAAGATTTTTAAATGTTTTTAATTCTCTTCTGCTCACTAGGGCTGCATTTATTTGATTAAAAATGCAATAAAAATATGAAATATTATTACAATTTAAAATAGCTGTTTTCTATGTGAATATCTGTTAAACTGTCATTTATTTCTGTGATGCGCAGCTGAATTTTCAGCATCATTACTCCAGTCTTCAGTGTCACATGATCTTCAGAAATCATTCTAATATGCTGATTTGCTGCTCAAGAAACATTTCTGATTATTATCAATGTTGAAAACAGTTGTGCTGCACAATATTTCTGTGGAAACCGTGATGCGTTTTATTTTTCAGGATTCACAGATGAATAGAAAGTTCCGAAGAACAGCATTTATTTGAAATGGAAATCTTTTGTTACATTATAAATATCTTTACTGTCACTTTTGATCAATTTAATGCGTCCTTACTGAATGAAAGCATTAATTTCTGGTAGTGTATATTATATTACATCATGCATATTAGATAAATCACCCAGCCCTGACACATTCTGACATGTTTTATTGATATTTGGCTGTGAGTTCCAGCTCGGTCCAAATGCGAGTCTACTGTAGATCATGAGATGCATCGTGAGCTCGCGGCGCTCTGGGATGATTGAGTCCCCATCTTGAGCATCTGGAGGCAAGCCTAGCGTCACAGGCAGCATTCATCACACACCAAAGTTAAACTGAACCGTAGTTTAGAAACTATAAGCACCGTCATCATGTCAATGCGATACTTCATATCTGTACCCAGAGGAAAGAACAATCAGTAGTTGATTCTTCTAGAACACAGTAATGCGGTTTTCTGTATCTTACTGAAGTCTCCTGCTTCTCAGATGTTTCTCCTGAGAAAAAGACCCCAGTGAGATCTATTCACGTTTATATAAAAGTGAAATACTCTGACAGGAGGACTTTAGGAGGAACATCCGAGACAGTCAGATATGCAACCTCACGTTTTCTTGTTTTCATGTAGATTCTGTTTGAAGGTTATTGTGTGTAGAGATGCAAGCGAATCTCCTCCAGACTGTGTGTGACTAAGGTTACATGTTTGTGGCTGACGCCACCTGTGCATTACTCAGCTCTGACATCTCACGGATGCATGTGACAAGCTGATAGTGCTACGATAAATAGGAACGATGTAAAACCAGTCGCAAGTAGATCTGATGTGAGATGCAAGCATATTTCTTTTCTCCACGCCCGTGGAATTCACCTTTCCGTGGGCTCAGTCTCTTACCGTGAGAGCCGTAATGCTGTAAACTCCAGCAAACCTTCATGAATCATTTCATTTACAGGCTCGGTAATCCGTTACAATAATAACTTCATCTCGAAGGGCATCATCTCTTCATATCTCACTGTTTCCTGAGATAAATGGGGATGCGCTGATGTTATTGCCATCTGGATCTGTGCAAAATACCTTTTCTTAAGCGCACAAAATATCAAGACTCACAATTGTCTTGTTTTCTGGGAAAAAAATCTTAACATCCTTAATACAAGATGCATTTATTAGAGAATATATCTTGAATTAAGTATTTTTCCTTCCTCATTGACAAATGAGGTTAGAAAAAAATCTAAGTCGAATTTAAGTAGAAACTTAATTCAAGATATATTCTCTAAAGGCAAGAAAGCTAGCGATTAGTTTACACAATTTTTGTTTCTCGAGTAAATTCCTATTTTTTAGGATTGTTAGATGTTTTTCCTAGAAAATATTGGTAAAGACAAAAATGCTGGTTAAGAAAAATATTATTATTATTTTGCAGTGCTGCCAGAAAACAATTTCGTCAGGCAAAACTTGTAAATGAAAAATGATCTTAAAGTAAAAGCATTTATTCTACATAACTATTTATCTGTATTTTCAGGTTTGCTTTCCTAGTAAATTACTGTTTTTAGGAATTTTGGGAAGTTTTTTTTAAAGAAAAGCATATTGGTAACGACAAAAATGCTGGTTAAGAAAATAATAATAATTATTATTATTATTTTGCAATGTTGCCAGAAAATTTGGCTGCCAGAAAATGTTTTACACAATTTTGTTTCTCAAGTTAATTCCTGTTTTTAAGGATTTTTAGATGGTTTTTAATGGAAATCCATCCATCCATCCAATATTCCTTTTAGTGCAAATGTTTTTCTCTTCTTGTCTTTCTTTTTATGATATATCTAAGATATTGGTAAGATGGTTAATTTAGGATGTAAAATCCAGTGTGTAGAAATAGTACAGTAGCCTTTATGGAAACATATGAGAATGAGTTTAAGAGGGAAAGTTCACTCAAAAATGAACGTTCTGCCATCATTTACTCAAACCTGCATGCTGTTATTCTTTAAAGTGTTTTCTTACAGCATAACTGTGAGTAAATAATGACCAAATGTTTAATTTCGCTTGAACTATCCCTTTACAATAGTCAAAGATGGTCCTATTTCAATGTGATATCAAATGAGGGTCCATTAACCTGTTTCTGACTGATGCTCTTTTATTCTGACTTCTACTATTTTCCAACTGTTTTCCACTCATTTCTGATTTGTGGCTCGTTTCTTCTTGATTTGCATTTGGATCATTCTTCTTTTGTGTTTTCCAACTGATCGGACGCTTTGGTTTTCTCTCGCACACCCCTCTTCTCCCCGTTTCCTTCACACTTGTTCACCTCATGGCTCCCTCTTCCTCTCCAGCTGGGTTTGTGAAGTCGCCAATGTCAGAGATAAAGCTCACAGGAGACGCCTTTGAGCTGTACTGCGATGTGGTGGGTAACCCCGTGCCGGAGATCCAGTGGTGGTATGCCGATATTAACAGGGCGGACTCCTTCAAGCAGCTGTGGGATGGCGCACGCAAGCGGCGGGTGTCCATCAACACGGCGTTCGGTGCCAACGGTGTGAGCGTTCTGGCCATCGCCCGCCTCACGCTGGAGGACGCCGGGATCTATGAGTGCAGGGCCAGCAACGACCCGCGCCGCAACGACCTCCGCCAAAACCCAGCCATCACCTGGATCCGAACGCAAGCCACCATATCCGTGCTGCAGAGTGAGTGCTCTATGTACTGTAGTAGCTAGATGCTCAAACACACACTAGTGTCCCCCTGCGTCCCTCGTGCAGAAACAGCTACGGACTAGGGCTGGGTGGCGTGATTCTGATTACCTGTGATGCAGTTCAATTTTAAATTGGGAGCAATTTAGTTTTGACATCTCGTTCTGCATGCAACCATATGGATATTGAATTCAGCTGATGTGCATCGTGTTTGTGTGTGTATCAGGCTACCCGGTCTCATGGCAAAAACATACCTGGGTGCACTTTTACGCGAGACGCGAAATACGTACCAATAAGTACATATCACTGCAGTTCCCAAAATAAATTAACACTAGAGGCAGTAAAACTCCGACACCTTTTATTCCTTTTCACACAAATTTACAGCGTTTCGATTAAACAAAACAGTTCAAATCTGCGTATAAGGAAGTTCACATGGCACGGTTGCATCAACAAATGCGCTTTTATATCAGTTTTGCATTTGTTAACACTATCGGGTAGGTTTAGGGTTGGGTTTGGTGTAGGGCATATTTCCAACGCGATAAAGCATTAACATTTAGCGTCAGTCCCTGGATATTTGAATTGTGAACTGCCGCAATACGTACCTGAAGCAACGTGATAGAAACAGCAGTACGTACCTATATCAACGTAATAAAAACGTGCCAGGGTTGACGTATTGAACCCGTGTTTTCGCACCTCTCAGTGGACATTTCTCTTTGAAACTGCGGCGAAACGTGCAGTAAGTTACGTTAAACGGTGCTGCAGAAAAGTACCCAGAGGTACGTATTTTTATGAGAACAGGTTGGTATCAGGGTTGTGGAACTGAACTGAGAATGTGTTTAATGAATGATGCACAAAATCTGATTCAATTCCTGAATTTGAATTAAGGAACTTCAATTTTGAAGTTTGTCAACTTTCTGTGTGGGCTTGTTCAACCCTTTTGCGTCAATTTATTTAAGGCACATAGAGGACAAAAACATAAATGGTCCTAAAAATATTAAATATTATATAATATTATAGTTCTTTACAGCTTTCACTGACATTGACACTAACAGTTTTTTTTTTTACCTTTAAAAAAAAAAAGAAGCATTTAACCCTTTAAATGCCAGTTTGCATAATGCAACTGTTGTTTTTTTATAAACAAACACACAAATAATTAATTTCTATATACTAAATGCTTTATTGTGGTGGGATTATTACAGTTTTGGATAAATCAATGATTATAAACTACATTAATTGTGATGCTTTATTATTTTTTTTGTGCCATAAAAAAAATAAAAACATTCACACAGACATATAAAAAAAAAAGATTAAATAGTAAACGATTTGAAGCTTTGTCATTTTTATTAACAGAGAATGCATGGTTTTATGCTTAAATGGCATTGGGATTAAATATTGCAGTTTAAATGGGTTTTACTGGGAACATTTTTTTGTCCTCGAGGTCCTGAGTGTAACTATTTTTTTGCACCTGGTGTAAAATAGATTTATGAAAGAAAATAAGGGTGAAATATTAAAATTCCAGTAAAATGGCTGAATTTATGCTGTTTGCATTAACAGACAAAATGATTAATAACAAAACAAAAACTAATATCCTAGGGATGCACATGTTGATCAAAAATCTTGATGTTTGAAGGTTTCAGAGGCCTTTAAGACAGACATATTTATGGAACAGGCTGGAACAACACTTAATTTCCCAGAATGCATCACTTGTGTAGAATTTCTTTGAATTATAATTCGGTAATTCCTCCTCTTGTCATTCCAATTCAAATTCCGGTATATTTTTTGCCAGTTCAATTTGAATTCTCGCTCATTAATTGAAACAAATCACCACTGAATCAATTCGAATCAATTCTTTCATTCTGACCTTTGCACAACCCTGGTGTATTTCAACAGTTTTATGATTTCATACATTGCACATCCACTCATATATAGAGTGCATTTCTGTTTTATGATATCTGCATATTCGTTTGTTATGAGTATAATCTGATATTGTAGCATGAATGAGAAAAGAATCAAATGAGGTGAAGCACCTTTCATTTGTAAAGTATTTAAAAAATCCAAAGAAATTCCAAAAATAGATATTACCACATGATTATGCAATACATAAAGCATTTTGGCAGCAAAAATAACTAAATAACATTTTCCATGCCACCCAGCCCTGCTACAAACAAAAATAAAACAAAACCCATATTATGTTCATTTGAGTTCATTTTTGGAATTGTATTGATTCCTCTTGTATTTTTATTATGGTTTGAACTTGGTGTGTCCAAATGTCCCCCTTTCCTTCAGGCAGACTTTGAGGATTCCCACTGAATTCAATAGTCCTTCAGCCCCTTTCCTCTCCTAATGCCTTTGAGCCTCTTGTTGTGGATGACCACAAACCCAGACAAATCCCTGCTCTCTGTCTGCCTCTCCTCCTCCTCCTCTTCCTCACTCCTTCCTCCCTCACCCTATACATGCCGCCCATCCCGGCTGTTTCTGTTTCCTGTGTTGCTTCCTGTTTCCTGTTTTGCTTGGGTTCTTTATTTTTATTTCATACGGACATGATTTAGTCTGTTCGTTTTGCATTGCGTGGGTCGTTTTATTTACTTCAAAGCTTGCCTTTGTGTGCCCTGTGCAGAGCGTAAAGCCTAACGGCGCTTTGAAGTCATGCCGTGTTTTTTCTGTGCATTTTGTCCTTGGAAAAGGGTGGATGAGACCAGAAAGAAGACACAAGGAAAAGGGGTCATTTCAGTTAAACGGGCAATCCCTTATCTCAATACCCCGAAAAAAATCACAATCTTATCTCTGTTATAAAACTGCCCCGTTTGCGTCTGCCGCCGGAGAATGACCTTGTGCCTTCTTTGCATTTAATGTTTGCCTGTGATTCAGTAATGACATGATATTCCACCCGCTAACATGAAGCCAAGCAGTCGGGTCTTAACTGAACTTCAGGGATTCCTGTCCATCAAGAGCTTGCTAAATTAAGACAAATGCAGGTGTACAAACATGATATATTCTGTCATTACTGAGAGTCTGTGATTTCATATTATATACATGTGATACGGCATCATCACATGCATATAACAGGCTATACATGCTGAAGCGTATAGTTTGTCAACAGGACAGCGTCTAGATTGATGGTGGTCTTGTCGAGCTTCTCGTGTGTAGAGGCTGTAGACTGTAGTGCAAATGTTAATGTTAATATTTATTAGGGATGCACCGATGTATCGGCCGATAAAAGCAAATATCTGCAGTACTGGCCATTGGCCGATGATCTGATTATATACTGTCAATCCTTTACATCAAAAGGTGCAGAATTTAGGGCTGTCAAAGTTAATGCAATATCACTTACAGTGAAGTACAGTTAATGCAGGGTTTATTTGACCTTATGAATCACCTGTAGTTCAATCCTGGGTTGCCAGATGTGCAGTTTTTCCCTCACCAAACATTATTTTTAATGCACCTCCTGTCCGGTAATCACAGAGCTTTGTGCGTTTGTTACTTCTGATATGAAACTAAGTCTCAGCTCTCAAATTCTGTCCATTTTATCACAAAAATCAAGCAATAAATGCTGTTTTGTCAGTCTTTAATGTGGTGTGACATTGCTGTAGTGCGACTCTCTTCCACTTTAATACAAGGTATAATGCGAAATAAACATGCATGAACATCAGATGGTGTTGAAATACAGTACAACCTTGCAAAGCCTATCATGTTTCATGTAATCACTCAATCAGTGTTTCAGCCACAGAAAGACGTCAATAAACCAGCTTGTGATCAATATGTCACTTAATGTTGCAATTACCTCAGGAAAGTTATCTGGTGTTCACAAATTATTACTTACAGGTTATTACTGTTAATTATATATGCATGCATGAATAAATCTAAAAGTTCTGAAAACCGCCTTATGTGCAATTGAGTTGAGTACAAACATTTCAGTTGTATTTGAGTGTGATTATTATATCCAGTGTTGGGTAAGTCACTCTAAAAAAAAAATAAAGTAACTAATTACTAGCTACTAATTAGATCTTCAACAGTGTAATTACGAATTACTCTTTCCAAAAAGTATTGCATTACTTATTACTAATTACTTTCTAAATCCCATGTCAACCTCGACCAGTTGAATAATTCAAGGATAGACATGAAACTGCTCTTTTAATCCTTTCAAATAAATTCTATAAAATTGCATAAATTCTTTTTGAACTATCCAAAGGGAGAAGTTTACATTAAAAACATACATTTTAAGGTTGTTTGATATAGAATTGTTCTGTAGGCTTTACATCAGAAGTAGCTGTAATTAAATGACAGACAAATGAAGAGTAATCTCTCACTTAAGGGAAAAGTAATTAAATTACAGTAATTAATTACTTAATAATGCATTGCACCAAAACTGATTATATCAGATAATAAATAGCATTTGAATAGTTTGGGGCCCATTGTTAAGTTTAACCTTTAATATTATAGTAATATACCAAATGAGAGGGATCCCTGTATTGTTTACAGCATTAGTTGGAAGATTTTTTTTTTCTTTAGCAAATCCAAACTGTCAGTATCCATTTGGGCAGATGTAATAATCGGCTCAATAATCGGCTCTTGGGATCGGTGCATCACTAATATGCATATTTTCACCCCAAACTTCCCTTCACAGTTTTCCGTGATCATTGGCTGATGATTGTGAGCAGGACCGACTCATTAAACTCCCTCCTCTTAGCAGGTGTCCTCCAGATGACCTTCAGCAGGATCTCCAGGCGTTCTGTAGCCGTGCAGACTGAGATTTTCTGGTTGTGTGTAGGTGAGAGTATAGGCGATCGAGAGAGAGCTAGCAGTAGCGTTCCCCTCGGCTAAACCAAACTGCAGGAGGAGGTGTAAGGAATGCTAATTGGAGTTTCTGGCGGCACACGGATCATCCCGTGCCTCTCCCAGCGGAGCAGGAATAATATCTGGAGGTTTACTGTACAAGCCAATCACAGAGTGATTATGCCTCGCCCTGCTTTTTCCAACTGGGTGCTGCGGTTGCTACGGTAGAGATTCACACACATGGACACCTCGCTCATTTGATTAAAGTCTGTATGTTTAGATTAAAAAGCTAGGATAGAAAGTAGTGACATTTTTGTTATTTGAGCCCATAGTAGTCCCAGAAAAAAATCTGTCCTGATTTTGAGGGAAAATCTATAGAATGTATTTGAATATTTAAATAGCTAATATAGTAAAATGTGTCAAATGGAGAAAAATTCCCTCCAAAAATATTTAGAACTAAATTTAAGAATTTGAATTGCATATACATTTTCCATCTATTTGGATTACATAGTTTTAACATAAACAAACAAACAAACAGATCAGATTTCTGTATAGTACTAATAAACCGAATGTGTTTTAAATACACATTAACCAGATTAATATATATTTATCATCAATAAATCCAATTTGATTCAAACTCGCACATATAAGTTGTTACACAACTAATCATATTTAGCCATGTTTACTTTGTAACTGATTAAATTTAATTGTTTTCACAATGAACAGATTTACGCTGATTCTTAAGCAATTTGAAAATATGATTACTTAAATCAAATCAAATAGATGCAAATAGTTGATAATAAACTATGCTATGATTTATTGAGTTTGTTTATGTTAAAACCATGTATGGATGGGAATTTTATATGCAATTCAAATACATAAATCTTAAATTTAGGCCATTTTTGAGTGCTTTATTGATAGCTAAAAGCATCATCAGTTTGACCGTAATATTTCATAAATAAACGTGAATGACATGCATTTCAATTCTGTAAAAATCTACATGTGCAGATTTTTTATTTTGACCAGCTCTTAGACAATATTGAAACCGTAAAGCATTACTGGATATCAATTATGGCCACTGATATATATGCCAAGAGAAGACAAGCTGAACCGAAACAGAACCGTTATTAGAAGCTTTGCAGCTTGCACTTGAAATGAAGTTGAACTGGATTTAATGGAAACTGGATGATTTCGCTGTAAAAGCGGTCTTGTGCACAATTGATGAGGCTCATATTGTGGCCAGAACACAACTGCATGTTCACTTTTGAGTCTTGATCGTCTGCAGGTGCAAATTCAGTGTCTAATTTATGATTTGTGTCAAAATAGAAGAAATTGCGACCCATGTTTGTCCCATTTCAGGCATTCCTTAAGGCAAGTATGGAGAGGTATATGTGCTCTTAAAGAGATAGTTCACCCATAAATGAACATTCATCATTTACATGTCTTTTGAAACCTGCGTGACACTTCTGTGGAAAACAAATTTATATAAAGCCGATTGTCCGGTGTATCGCATGCTATGGCTTAAAATGCACGAGTTTTGTGGACTTTTTTTTGGAGCTTGACAGTCATTGTTTCCAGTCCAAAAGCAACTCTTTTTGTGTTTCTCAGAAGAGAGAAAGGTTTGAAACGACATGAGGGTGAGTAAATGATGACAGGATCTTCATCTTCGGGTGAACTTTCTCTTTAAGCATCAAGACAATCTATAAAGGGACATATGTTAAACTTGACACTATTTGATGTGCAACTGTAATGTTTTTATTCGTGTTGTCTCCGTTCTCCACACAGGAACACATTCAGGAAGGTCTGAAGGAAACATGAATATCCATTAAGATCGTAATGTTTTATTCTCTAATTGTCCAGGACTTTGTCTTCGTTTCAGAGCCACGGATCAATGCTTCGGATCAGGAGATTTTGCAGCCTAAAAGCGGCCAGGAGTTGCCCATCACTCTTCAATGTAACCTCACTAACTCGCACAGCACCCACCGGGAGACCTTCTGGATGAAGAACGGACTGGAGATTGCCAACACCAGGACTGAGCACAGACACACCAAGTTCAAGTGAGATTTCAGCTCTTTGCTTTGGGTTCATCGGTGCTTCTCATTTTTGTTTTTGTTTTTTCTCTCTATTGCATCTGTGACATGCTGTCAGTTACCACAGATTAATCATTTCTGCTCGTGCCTCAGATTATAAAAACGATCAGGAAACATGTTGATAGATTAAGAAAGCCCAGTAGTTCAGCAGGCAGCACGTCATCTGTGTTCCAGGCAATCTGCTAATCTGCACTGCACTGCTTAGTCCGGCTGACAGGTGGATGAAGCTCAGGAAAATGTGTCGTATTTCACCCCAAAATCAAATGAATGAATGAAGCATGTATAACACAAATGGGTAACAGAAGAAATTATATTGTGCCTTTGCAAAATAATGCAATAATTTGTAATATATTTTTAAATTAGATTTGTATGTATATATACTGTATATATATATATTTTTTTTTATTTTATATATATTTTTTATTCCCATTATCTTTTAAATATATTTAAATATTTAAGTGACTTCATAATAGTGTGTTGCACTAAATTTTATTTATACTGTTTTTAATTAAAAAAATATTGACAGCACAATATTGACAATATTTAAAATGTATTTTGTTTGCAAACGATGCTGGTTATTTTCTACTTTTGACATGGTATTAATTAATTTTTTAACCAAAAATGCAAGTTATTTTCTCTTTTTTTTTTTTTTATAGGAAACTTGCTTTTTACAATAAAACTGAAATGTGACTTGTTTATAAGACGTCTTCATTTCAAGCAATGTGTGCTTTGATTTCAATTGTTCAAAATATTCAACAAATAACCATCAATAGTTAGTTTCCTTAAATTATTTTAAAATCACAAAGATAAGAAATGCACTCTTTCATTAGAAAAAATATCCCACCGTTAATAGCTGAGTATATTTACACTACAAACCTTTAATAAACTATGAGGGCAAAAATAATAAATAAATACATACATGCATAAATAAAATAAAATAATCGTTCATAAAATATATATTAAATATAATAATAATAAATTTTATTAGATAATTTTATTATTCAATTATTTATTATGATAATCATGGCATGAAAATGTCAAAATGCAAAAATCTGCAGTTCTTAAAACAGACTTCATTTTCATTTAAACAAAATGTAATTTATATATTTAATTCTTTTTATTTGAGAATCTAATTTCTCAGTGTCTTTTCTTTATTTATTTTAGGGTGAAATGCAACCTGTCCAATTCACTCCAGTATCGTAGCAATTTCAGAAGAAGCTTTGCCTCAAATTATATTTCATATACCCGTGAAGTCTGTAATATCAAGCTCTTTTAGAAACTCTGAGGACAGTCCGGATGTTCAAGCACGAAATCTCTTTAGTGACACGTCTGATCAGAGCGAAACCCCCCAGCAGAGCTTTGGCTGAGAGTGATGTGGCGCGAGGCGATCTGCTGTCAGACTGCATGTCACAGGCTCCAGAGAGAGCAGACAGCACTGCGCCGGCAGCTCTAGCACTGCGTAATCAAGCCAAAATACATCTCCACACAACCGGCCACCTGAAAAATGCTTTCTGAAAATGCTGTTATAATAGGTCGCTCTCGCTGATGATTAATAATGCTTCACTGATTAATATCGGCTCTTAAAGCAATAGCGCACACAAAAATGATTCCATGTCGTTTCAAACCTTATTTATCAGTTGCTCTTTTCTATACAAGTTTCTAGTGAAAATGTCTGTTAAACTCCAAAAAATATATATTTATGTATGTATATGGAAAAGAAGCCTTCTGAAGTCATATATGCAACGTGTGATAAAAAGACAAAATGTTATAAAAGACCATTTTTCTCCATTCTCCAATCCATATATTCAGGATTAGTGGCATTTAGTAAATTGTGCATCCCCTTTTTAATATGAATGCAAGTTTCCTATGGAAGCTTGTTTCTGTCACAGGGTCAAAAAACTATTAAAAAGGTAATTACGACTTATCTTAAAATTCTGATTTTTTTTCATGCAATTCTGAGTTTACATCTCATAATTGTCACATTTCTGAGAAAAAAGTCAGAATTGAGAGATATAAATGCATATTTGGGAGATTGCAAGAAAAAAAGTCAGAATTGAGAGATAAAAAGTCGCATTTACCTTTTTTATTTTTTATTTCATGATGTAAACGAAAGTCAGTTAACTCAGTATTCTGATTTTAAAAAGTCGGAATTGGGAGAAAGAAAGTCAGAATTCTGAATTCATAATTTTTTTTATCAGAATTGTGCAAAAAAACAGAATTGTGAGATATAAACAGAATTACGAGATATAAATGCATATTTGGGAGATATGAACTTGCAAATGCGAGAAAAAAGTCAGAATTACGAGAAAAAAGTCACATTTCATGATGGAAACAAAAAAGTCAAAATTGCAAGATGTAAACTCAGAAATCTGATTTTAAACAGTCTGAATAGAATCGAATAGAATTTTAATAGAATAGAATAGAAATTCGGAATTGCATGAAAGAAAATCAGAATTCTGATTTTATATCTCACAATTGCGACTTTTTTATCAGAATTGCTATAAAGTCAAAATGGCAAGATGTAAACTCAGAATTCTGATTTGAAACAGTCTGAATAGAATAGAATAGAATAGAATAGAATAGAATAGAATAGAAACTCGGAATTGTGAGAAAGAAAATCAGAATTCTGAATTTATATCTCACAATTCCGACTTTTTTTATCAGAATTGCGATAAAGTCCAAATTGCAAGATGTAAACTCAGAAATCTGATTTTAAACAGTCTGAATAGAATCTAGTAGAATTTGAATAGAATAGAATAGAATAGAATAGAATAGAATAGAATAGAATAGAATAGAATAGAATAGAATAGAATAGAATAGAATAGAATAGAATAGAATAGAATAGAATAGAATAGAATAGAAACTCGGAATTGCGTGAAAGAAAATCTGAATTCTGAATTTATATCTCACAATTGTGACTTTTTTTATCAGAATTGCGATAAAGTCAGAATTGCAAGATGTAAATTCAGAATTCTGATTTAAAAAAGTCAGAATTGTGAGAAAGAAAGTCAGAATTCTGAATTAGTATCTCGTTATTCTGACTTTTTTCCCTCAGAATTCCAAGAGAGAGAAAAAAAAGACAGAATTGTGGAGATAAAGTCAAAATGATCTGTTTTATTTTGTATTCCGTGGCAGAAACGGGCTTCCATAGATGTCAGAGTTTTGGTGGGAAGATTATCTGTGAATAATGTTTCTGTTCCTGCATTCAACAGTAGAGCCTGATGCTTGCAACGCCAAAGTCATGGGTTTGATTTCCAGGGAATGCATGAAATGATGTAATGTAAACATGTAAAGCTATTAGCCAAATGCATAAATGTAAACGTTCCTCACACAAAGATACTATACGGCTTCAGGAGACTTGAAATATTGTGCAATCAGTATGAGCTTGTATGGGAGAAACAGAACAGGTTTGCAGTGACATGAGGGGGCGTAAATAAAGGTATTTTCAGCATTTGGTGAACTGTTCTTTTTGGTTTTGTAGAGATGCTCCAGTTTGGAGTTGGCAGTGATTGTGTTTCTTGTTTTGTAGGTTAAGTAAACCCAGGACAGATGATTCGGGTGAATACATGTGCGTTTACACCTTTAAGTCGGCTCCCAATGCCAATGCTTCCATTGAGGTCAAAGGTAAGAAATCCTTTCACAAAACTCATTAACATACTGTTACCAGCATCCAGAGGAGACCTAGCCTGTGTTATAATTACGTATTGTTTGGAGTGTAATTAGTCTCTCTTCACTTCAAAATATACTCACTCAAGAGCCGGATGCGTCTCATTAGCGTTTGTCCGCGCGGATAGCTGCTGTCACTCATAATCAGGACGGCCATCCGGCTTGGACTTCATAACGAGTCAAACGTGCTGCTGCGACTGTATGTTTCAGACTGTAAATGAAAAGGACTCAAAAGAGGAAAGAAAATGTGAGACAAACGACACTCTTACTGCTTTTTTGTAATTCTTGTGTTCCTTAATGGTGTTTCTCATTAGATTCTCATTATTGTAATACAGTAAGTTTTTATATTAAAAATTAAATAGTATGAATTTTAACCTGATATAAATATAAATGTAATATAAATAAATTTAAAATGTATTTTAAATTAAATAAGCATAAATTAGTAAATGACAAATATATATACAATATTTTGCATATTACAAAAATGATTTATTAATTATAAATGATAAATCATTTATTAATTTGTTTGTTTATTTATGCTATTACAGTAAAAATTTTAAATTTTTACAATTTTGATTTTATTTTTAAGAAAGCATAAATGAGTACCTGACAGATCAATACATCATTGTTTTTTTGCATATTACAAAAATAGATATTTTCACAGTAAACATTGTAATAGTTTTATTTATAAAAATGTAATTTTTTTTTTATTTAATTTAATTTAAATAAGCATGTGACAAATATACCATTGTTTTTTGCATATTACAATTTGATTATTTATTATATTACAGTAAAAAAAAACTCATATCATGATTGTTATTTTTTAATTTAATAATCTTTAAATGTAAAAAATTATTTTAATTTAAATAAGCATTAATTAATATCTGACAATAACATATTTTTTTGCATATTACAATTTGATTATTTATTATATCACAGTAAAAAACCCTAATATCATGATTTTTTTTTTTTATTTAATAATATTTAAATTTAGATTAATTTTAATTTAAGCATAAATTAATATCTGGCAATACCATTGTTTTTTTGCATATTACAATTTGATTATTTATTATATTACAGTAAAAAAAACCTCTAATATCATGATTTTTATTTTTTAATTGAACAATTTCTAAATTAAAAATAATTTTAATTTAAAAAAGCATACATTAATATAGTATTGACAACTGACAAATAAATATAGTATTGTTTTGTTGTTGTTGTTGTTGTTGTTGTTGTTTGCATATCACAAAAATTAGATTTATTTATTTCTATTTTGTGGTGAAATATGATCCAGGCATGTCCTTGCCTCATTTGGAGGTTCTGCTCATTTTCTGGACAGTGGAATCTACAGATGACACGAATAATGTTTGTATGTATATGAAGTGGATTGTGATCTCCACTAAAACCCCTGAGACCCGACTCAGTCTGAGCTTGCCTGCGTGTTCCTCGCAGTTAAGCCAATTTGTTTTGACACGGCCGTCAGACGCACTGAGCATGCCCGGACCATTATGTCAAGGCTCTCGTTAAGTGTTGCCTGGTTACGTAACACGATGATGTCGCTGTTTGCCCCGAGTCTGTTAGATAACAGCATTCAGCTCCGTTCTGCTAGAAACACGCGATGAAGAAGCTTCCTGACGTATTGTTCCTGTCCTGTCTGTATCTCTTTACATGCATCTTTACTGGAGCCACAAGACACTTTAATTCAGGAATCTACGCTGAAGTTGTTTTAGGTTTTTTTTTTATGCTACATAGTATTTTGGTGAATATTTTATAGTGTCTAATTATTTATTTAATAAATAATTAGACATATCATTTTTTATTAATTAAATAATTATTATTTATTTTGCAAAGACAGAAAAAGGAAGAAATTATTAAATGAAAATGACCAGGGCACATTTTACCACATAATCAAGTGAACAAAAATAAGTTGTTATATTTTGTAATTAAAAATAAGTCATTATTTCTATTTAATAATTCATTTATTATTATTAATATTTTTTTTTTTTGCAAAAAGAAAATGACACCTGTCATTGCTGAAAAAGGATATATTGCAACATATAATTATTTAATATAAATTATTATTTTTAATTATAAAATTAATTACAACTGTTTTAGGACTATTACAATTATTTGTAATTTCCATTTTTCTCAAATGTGATTCTTGTTTGATTTTCATTACCTTAATATAGTCATTTTTACTGTAATGTTTTTTAAACATCAGTACATCCAAATACTATCATGTTCAAATACTGTACAATTTAAATAATATTTTCTTAAATTTTCTTTATTACACTAATAAGAATGAGATTTTCTGCATTAAGATAATTCAAATGTGAGGCAAAAAAAAAAGATGTATATATATATATATATATATATATATATATATATATATATATATATATATATATATATATATATATATATATATATATATATATATATATATATATATATATATATATATATATATATATATATATATATATATATATATATATATATATATATTTGTGTGTGTGTGTGTGTGTTATATTTTCATATATTTTCATATGTTTTCAATATATTTCTAATTCTGTTCTCAAATGTGATTTTCATTAGAAACAAATTCATTTTCACTGTAAATATACAATATTTTTCATACAATATACATCAAATACTAATGTATCATATAAATAGTTTACAATTTAAATATATAATTTACACAAATAACTAATCAGATGTTTTGCATTAAGGTAATTCAATTTAATTTAAATGTGTTATTAGTCATGAAAATAATGTGTTATTTAAAAAAAAATGTAATGGTCCTAAAAATAGGCTTCATATTCTTTAAGCAAAATACAATGTCTTGTTTGTTTCTTGTGCTGAAATATGACCTGCACATGATTGATTTGAGATTCACCCGACACTAAAAAAAGAGTCCTGAAGCCCAGTGACATGAGCCAAAGATATCCCGTCTTCAATATCAGATGAATATGAGGTTCTGTCGTCCAGTGGGAGTCGTTCAGGTTGAACGTGGCCCATCATGCAGTCTGTCTGTTCACCCTCAACCACTCCAGTCTTTGGCTCTATCTCTCTCTCTCGGTGTCTCTCTAGCTGTCTCTCTCTCTTTCTCTCTCTCTCTCTCTGTGTGTGTGTGTGTGTTATAAAACACTGTCTCTTTCAACTATACCTGCTCAGAGCTTCTCTTCACCTGCCATCCATCCCATTATGAAAATGCACTCATCTTGCCCCATTTACTGTCATATATGATTTATATGATTGTATAAAGCAGTTTCCCAACCCTGTTCCTGGGGGCACATATATACAACATTTATTTATCATTATTTTTTAAATTAAACACACCCGATTCAGCTCATCAGCTGGTTAGTAGAGACACCAAGACCAGGGCCGGATTTACGCATAGGCATTCTAGGCACGTGCTCTCTCTCTCTGTGTCTCTCTCTCTCTCTCACACACACACACACACTGAGGGAACAGATGGAGGTTCATGCGGTGGGTTGGGTCTGGATTAAGGCTCTGGATTCACTCCCAGTGTTTCTAATGGCAGGAGTTTACAGTCCACTATCATAATCTGCCCTGCGCATGCATGTTTCAAGCGTTACACTCCCAAGTCTTTTAAAACAGCAATATATTGTGATGTTTGTGCACCATAATCAGAGATCGCTCTTCCATATGGTGGCGTAATCGAATTAAATCACGTCAGGTGCGGTAAAACCCAGCCTGCACCTTTACGTGTGTTTATATTTAGTAAGGCATTATTAAGGAAGGATGTCGGTGCGCCATCTGTCGTGCGCGTGAGTCACTTTTACTCCATACATTCGCCCTGCATGAATTCCTGTCTCGATTCTGCTGTATATATTCCATCTGTCGCAGATTGCATTGGGGTTTGGGTTACACTAGCTCTTTCCTTTCAAGGCAAATGAGACGCCCTGCAAATAGCAGCGTAGAGCAGGTATCCCGACACCGTTACTGATCTCTGCCCGGCATTGATCACTCACTTCCGCAGGCGATCAGGGCTTGAAAGAGGACCAGACGATGGGATGGAAAAGAGGGAGAAAGAGACCCTTGTGATCGGAAAGATGCTGTGAGTGAGGATAATGCTGAGCTCACTGTCGCTTTTCAGAATATAATGTCTTATTTTGGGTCACATTTCACCACTAAATCAAATTAGCAAAAATAAGTTATATTTCATGTTTTCATAATTATTATTTATATTCATGGAAATAATTCAGTATTCAGTTATATATGTATTATATATATTAATTATGTATGCTCTATATATTATATATCTACAGTATATAGAGCATACATAATTAATATATATAATACATATATAACTGAGTCTCAGAGATGCTTTTCTATCATCTATTTTCTATTTACATCTATTTTTAGAACTGTTAAGATCTTTTTTAGTTTACGTTTTTTATTTTCATATGACTCTCATTAGAAACAGAAAGTAATACATTCATTTTCACTTAAAAATACACTGTTTTTTACAATCCAATATGAATATTACATTTATTATATACAGTATAAATGAAGTGGTGTTTGTGATTGGAAGGAGGCCGATTTATTGTGTCTCAGAGAGTGTGGATAATGCCGTGCTAAGCTCCACATCACTTTTCTGCCTGTGACACTCACACACACACACACACACGCACGCACACGCACAC